AGACAGACAGACAGACAGACAGACAGACAGACAGACAGACAGACAAACAGAAAGAGAGAGAGAGTGAGAAAGACAGACAGACAGACAGACAGACAGACAGACTGACAGTTTGTTTTAGTAAGGCTTTACGGCGCTCTCAACTGCATAAGGTCATATGAACACCAAGGGGTGGATGTCAACAGAGAAGTCCAAACGGGGAATCAGGCTTACTCTGATCACCTCTCTAGCCTCCAAGGCAATATTAGCAAGAGAGTGACAAACATATAAAATAAGTAGAGGAAAATGACAATAGTAAGGATGAGGAAAGAAAAAGCAGCAGTTCCCCCTGTTGTTCGGGCACAGTGGGAGCATGACTTTGATAAATCAGCCCATTTACAATTCTACTGCGCATAAGAACATGTTAATATGATCTCTCCTTTGGGAATGGCATCAACACAATTCAGTCAGTAGCACTGACCTGGGGGTAGGGGCAGACAGACTTACAGACAGTAGAGATTGCCCTCAACCTTCATTTAGGAGGAGCTTTTATGCTGAAATCTGATCATTAAAAAGGAGCAACTCACGGGGAATAGACAGCAGTTCCTTCACTTCGGCTGTCATGTGGCCGTCCTCCTCCGTGTGCTCCTTCGCCTTCACCTGCTTCTCTCTGATGCCCGTCAGAATAGCTTGACATTGCTGGGTGCAGTGACGACGGTTTGTCAGCCAGTCTGTACCAAGATATTATAACAGGTCAACATAAAATACATAGAAAGGTTAAGTCATGGCTTGCTTTTATAGGGTACGAAAACACATTTACTCGTAAATGTGAGTATATACGTGTGAGTGAGAGTGGGCATTTGTTTTACGTCGCTGTTCAATATTTTGGTACCGTTTCCCATTCTTTATTCCTCAATAGGAAAAAGAAAACATCCACACTTTCCGACATGTACACAACCAAAACTTTAGAAAATATTAATGGGCCAATTTTCAAAAAGAAAAAGTATTTTAATAACAATGACCAGAATTTTGTTAGTGGAATGTATGCATTAATCATTATATCTGAGCTGTCTGTATGTTAGAAGTACCTATCTTGAAAAGTAGCATTGCTAATTAATAAAAATAAAAGAAATACTTCAGCTAATAAAAAAACCCAACAAGGTACAGTTTAATCAACAACTTTTCATTCTAAATCATGTAACTGTCCTCTAGCTTTAAAAGTTCTTACCCAGCAGTTTGTTAAAATGAATGTCTATTGGCAACGCTTCCAAAGATTTCTGAGCCATTTTGGGCAAGACTTGTCTCAGATCCACAAAGATGAGCCTGTCAGAAAAAAATAGTCAACTTCTCTTAGTGGAGTGTTAACAAACCAGTACAGTAGGCCCTCTAGTTTACAACAACACATACAGAGAATATTCACAACATAAGCCTTCTTTGTTGCTATACTACATAAGATTCAAAATGTTTTCAAAAGTCATTGTCAGTATGATCTATTTATAGATGATATAAAGGAGGTGCGTAAGGCCTACTTTGTTAGGCACAATGACTGCTGAAAGACAGATTTTATAGATGACCTAAAAGAAAAACTAAATTCATATACATGGTTATAATCTAAAGACTATGAAAAAGGTAAAAATCTAGAAACAAAATGGTTCAAAACAATAGAGTATACTATAATAGGAATAATTTGTATACGGTATAAATTTATTTACGACCCTTAACTGAACTCGCAGAAATCACTGACAATGTCTTCTCTTCTGAGGCCCATGGGTTGTGCTATGCATAATTCAGCTAAGAAAATAACATTAAAACACAATTGTCACTGGTAAGATCACAGAACAGAGAAGAAACTAGAATAGCATTGATCGTGAACACTATAACTTATTAAACATAGCAGTAGCAGCATAACAACTTGGCAATGCCAATGAACTGCCGTGCAGTCCTGGCACTGAGAAGAATAGGACTGATGTGGTGCTAGCGTGTCGTACGAGGCGACTAAATGGTGAAATAGGTAGTGACTCCCAAAACAGAGTCATTCTCCCTCCAGGTCGGGGGTTGAGCCATGAAGCTAACAACCTCTATCGTAAAAAGAACCTGCTACAGAAACACATACAAGCAAAAACTATTATCTCTGCTTGACTGGTTGTGGATCTTCTCCGAATGGAGAGTTTATGATGCGAGGCAGTGAAAGGCGAAAGGAAGCTGCTGGGCAAAAGCCTCCACCATCATCCAAGTCCAAGTCTCTTCGGATTGGATCGTGGAACGTCAGGACCCTTTATGAGGTTGGAAAAGCTGCACAGGTCCTCCAAGAGATGCACCAATATCAACTACACATACAGTGGGAATCAGCGAGACCCACTTGAACCAGTCGGGAAAGCCCAGCGGAAACATCACAAGACAGTCACTGCAGTGGAACCCACAGGGAGCACGAGGCAGGTGTAGGCAATGGGAAACATGGAGGCCATGCGTGGAAAGGGACATGAGGGAGATGAAACTCGCTTCGACCAAGCTTGGAATGATGGCCCAGGACAGAGATAAATGGAAGGAGTTTTGTATGTGGTCTATACCCTGCCAGGGGTGAAAGGCATTAACAATGACGATGATGAATGCCAATGAAAAATTGATTTTTTTTGCTTCAGCCCTTTTTTATTTGGTACCTAAGAAAAAGTTTTCATTTCTCAGAAAAATGCTTTTTGAATTTAAAGATTTGGTATTGGTTTATAAATAAAAAAATTATTGGGTTGTTAAAGTGAGCAAAGTAAGGATGACCCATTTACTCCTAAAAAGTGGACCACGTAACGGCAGATTCTGTAAGAAAATCAACGGTATCTCAGTAATTAATTTCAGCTTGAGAAAGCAACTTCGCTACTCAAAGTGTTTTTGCGCAAAGAAATCATGTCTGCAGTCAGATTTACTAACCATTTTGTTGTTATTTTGTTACAATTAAAATTTTGGTGTACATTTACGAGTCTGAGAAAAAGAGGTGGCGGGATATGAGCATTTTATAGCATCGTTTCACAACATGAGACCTTTAAGAATATGTTGGCAGTGTGACTAAATAATGGCAAAGCTTTCTTTGATGACTTTAGACCATGCCAACCATAAAATATAATTCATTTCAATCTAACACGCCATAAAATTAAAAACCTTTTTTCCCCGTTGAGATGTGAACATCCCAAGGCAAGATATATAAGCTCGCCTCGGAACACCCCTATTGTGACGTTACAGAGGAACAGAGAGAAAAACAACCAGACGCGTGCACTCGGTACTGCCCTATTTCAAGAGACCAATGAACGGGCTCGGAATAATCATGTGGGGATTTGTAGGTTACACATTTGACGAGGGAGTGAGGGGAAAATGGCCGGTCTCCGTGCTTTACAACTACTCAACACAGAACGTTCAAATTTGTGGCATCGGAGTCCTAGTGGTTAGGCTACCGGACTCGTAATCGTGAGGTTGCGGGTTCGGGGTTCGAGCAGCGGGCCCGATGTTGTCCTTGGGAAAGGCATTTTACACTAATTTTCCTCAATTCACCCAAGTGGAAATGGGTACCGACCATAGACAGCGAAAGATCTTGTCAGTATGTTAGTGTTTTAGCGCCTTATAAAAGGCTGCTTGCACTGTATGCTTCCCAGGAAGTTGAAGTTGTTTCAGAATGCTCTCAGGTCTGCTGGGGTAATTGTAGAGATTGTGAAGCGCATTGAGCTTGCTACTGAGCAGGGATTTGCGCCATACAAAAGCTATCCATTATTATTAAATTTGAGGACACTATAGAGGAAAAAATAGATCTCTTAACTTCTCGGCGTTGAAAATGAAGCTCCTTATATAGTTTACGGAATACCCGATACATATCACTAGTTTGCCCTATTATCTGATTTGTCGCCATATTGGCCCAAATATAGACTATATAATAGGGCAGACCGAGTTTGAGAAAGTTATAATCACCTACGTTCCCATCCGGTCAAAAATACACCCAAAATTTCACCACGCGTGCAAGCCTGATCGGCATTGTTAAACAACTTAAAAATTAAAAAGATAAAAATTGTATTTGCATATATAAGCCTACTGTTGATGAATTGGTCAATGGCAAATAGACCTTCTTGGCTAAAGTGCAATTATTTTATATCAAGTGTGAGGGGGGGGGGGAGACATGCCATATGACGCAGAGCAAAAATACAGTATATAATTGAAGAAATTGAAGCTGCCCATTGATAATTGTGAGGCAGAATGATGAAATCAGGCACTCGTCAAATGAAATAAAAGAAGCCGGCATTTTTTCTGGCTGTAGGGCAATTTTTTTCTAATTTTCTTTTTTCGGTTTCACACCTTTTATATATGAAACCATTTTAAAACTCATTTTCGAGTGGATTTTACCGGAAAAAAATTGATTACAGGTACAAAAAAAAGTAATTTTTCAGTTTTCAAGGACTCTCAAGCTATGGAATTTACAAAACTTTGGTGGCCATTTCTCACTAAATTTACCTCTGAATCTAGGCGACCCTGACCTCCTTCAATCACAAATAATTCGACTTCTATTAAACCTAAAAGTATATTTTTTTCACCAAACGCAAGGCAAATATGAACAGGGCGTTAAGATGATACTGATAACCCCATATATGCTCAAAAATTGACGAGTGCCTAATTCCACCACGTCTTGACACAATTACTTTATAAAAGTAAGTTGGCTTGCCCAACTTCCAAACTTTGATCGAAATCTATTGTACACCAGTAGAAGTCTTGAATTGAACTTCAATAAAGTTCAAAACATTAAAAGGCACAGTATATATGACAGACTAAAACTACAGACTAATAATTATAACAGCAGTTCAAGACATTCAGACTGCCAAAGTTATGATCTGTAGTCCAAAAATCAGAAGTAGAAAAGAAGTCGAGCAGCAAAAGGATCTAGATCTAGATCTAGATAGATTGGCTGCGGTAATAGTCTGAACAACTGTAGTTAGTTGTCCGTACAATAGTGCGAACAACTGTAGTTAGTTATCCATACAATTGTGCGAACAACTGTATTTAGTCATTCGTACAATAGTGAGAACAGCTGTATTTAGTTATCCGTACAATTGTGCAGTGCGAATAAATCTAACTAGTTATCCGTACAATTATTCAAATTGCTTGTTTGGCCTGTTGGTGCGCTTACATTTGCCTTGATCTAGTTATCTAGGCCTAGAGGAATGTTCTAGGATTTTGTGGTTGGCAAGGATTTACATTTTCAAGACAGAGTGATTATTCTCACCCGGGGTGAAGAACTGGACAAGCGGGTTAACCATTTATTGAAAACTGGGTCTGGCTTGGATTTGACTTAGATTAGAGCCCCCCCACCCCCCGCCCACCTATGTATGTATACACCGCCTCGTCCCCGCCCCATGCCTGCTAAATAATCTAAGGTGGGTCCAGATCTTGACGAGAGACTTGGATACTTGGATTTGGTTGTGCCAGCCTCCTCCTTGTCTCGCGACTCTGCGCTTCCACCTCGCCACTTCTTTAGAACTGCGTTATCCTCTCCCAACCGCACTTCGTCCACGAGAGAAATCGGGTTGAGTTCTATCCGGGTTACAATCCCGTAAATTTAAATAAGTAAGTCACAGTCAGGAACTGGATACGCAACTTATAATCTGGGTTTCCGCCCAGCACTTCAGGTTCGGTCCTCCCCTCCCCCCCCTCGGGTTGAGCACCAATTATTCTAATTCAAGGAGAAGACATCAGGGCTTGAATTAGACCCTGGCACCGTAAAAAGGGTCAACCGCGGCAATTTTTGCAGTGCTCAATCTTGTTTAAAAAATTTTTGTTTTAAAAAAAAGTGACATCATGAAAATAAATCAATATATTTGTCCTGTGCTGTCACTTGTGAAAATAAATAAAAAAGGAAAGAAAGTTATACAAGCGTCTTGTCAGGTTTGTTCGTCACCATGACGGGTCAGTGAACCTACCCGCTTCACAACTTTTATTCACAAGATAGATATATGCCCTACGGTAGGCCCTATGACATCATGTGAGCACCGGCTGCTGTTGGGGTCACAAAAGTTCAAGCAAATTCTGAAAGCCACGAAGTATGGCGCACTCCGAAATGGGGGGAATTATTTATTTATTTTCAAAAAAATACACTCATGGCCATGGGCGAAATGATGATATGAAGACGTCCTGTCTGAGGTGCCTGAAATCTCATCAAAACTTCAGTCAGACACTGCTCAGCTTGATCGAGTCGGTTTGGCGCCCACCGGTCCAGTGTGCCCAATGCCCTGCCCATGGCCATTGTCATTGAGCATGACAAATCACAAAATAAAAATATCGCTTTTCCGGTTTCGTCCAAACTCGTTGTTTCGTGCAAATAGGCCTCGGCCTAGGCCTACGTTGTGGGAGTTTAGTATTGTAAGGATAACTAGTGGCAGTTATTCGTACAACAATATTGTACGGATAACCAGATAGAGTTTTTCGCACAATGAACAAAACAATGATCCGAATTTAACCGCTCCTATAGATTTAGATTCTAGATCTAGATCTAGATCTAGATCTAGATTAGATCTAGAAGATTAGATTTGTCTACATGCATGGCAATGTCTAACAATAGAGTGGTTTAGAAAGAAGAACTGCACTGTTATTCAATACAGAAATATAAGCAGTCTTCGTATTTAAGAGGGGTTGGGCTTTACCTTCCATATGCCACCTCAGACAAACTCACCGGAAACTGGTTCAGATTTCGTTAATTAATCCGATCTTTATTTTCTGTTTGTTACGAAAAATATAAAACTAGCATGCGGAGAAATGAAAATAGTACCGAAATGAAGAATGGTGAAGGCTTCCAAGTAGTCTGAACAGAGCTTGTAATAACGTATTAATGCACCAGATAATTATGTTTAACTTCTGTTAGATATAAAGGCATGCTCTTTTCTGTCCCTCAATTTAGTTATCCTTAAAAAAAAAAGTTTGCGTAGGCCTATGGAGTTTTTACTGATTGTGTTGGAGCAGATTAAAACAAAAAACTTTATCTGTTAAATAGCTTAATATTGCTTCTTTCTTAATGGAGTTTTTAGTTACTTTTTTATAGCACTAAAAGATCGGGTAAATTAGCATGCTTCTAATCCCTGAGCGTTCACTTTTATTTTGTTTACTTCAGAGAAAGCGTTTGTTTTTTAATTTAGAGACAAGGGAGGTTATTCTGTCGCAGATCGAGATACAACATGGCGGCGGTAGGTACATTGAACGATGAAGCCTTGAAGCGGAAAGAGCGACTCAAGGCTTTGCGAGAGAAACGCAATGTACAAAATGATAATACTGACCAAGACGAACCTGGAAATTCCACAACAGAGAAAGAAAGACTCCCTAGGTATGAGTGAATCTGTCTAGAATCTAGTTATAATAGATCTTCGGGAGGACTTCCGTAACGAGCGACCACTATGATAGTATTATAGACTGTGACTATGTCACTAGATTTCTAGGCCACCTCTATTCTCACCCGGAGTGAGAATAGTGGGCGCTTTTTCGGTAGTTCCCACCCCGCATTTGTTATTCGCCGGATTTGGTACCAAGAGTAGGGGGGTTTCAGGGGGGCTTGCCCCCCTGACCTATTAAAAACAAGGTAGGGGGTTTCAGGGGGGCATGCCCCCCTGAATTTTACAACAATTTAATGTTTTGCAGTTGTTAGGTTTGACATCTTAGCTTGCCGCGAATCAAACGTTTATAGATCTAGATGTAGGTCAGGCTCTATCAAATAAGTGGGGTGGGAACTACCGAAAAAGCGCCGAATAGTGCAGGTGAGTCTTGTGGCTATTCTCACCCGGTGCGCGTTCACCAAATTTTGCGTTCACCCTAAACCACAGAATTCTACACTGTGATAACAGAAAAATTGTAGAATTCTGTGCCGCGAACAAACGTTCCATTACAACTGTAGCCTACTAAAAGCGTACAATTTTGTCTGTGGGCAGTGGAGAGAGAGAGAGAAAGAGAGAGAGGAGTAGCGCGAGAATTTCCGGGCAAAACAAAATGGCGACCCGCATAGTTCGGCTCGATTCGAAAAGTTAAATAGCCGTAGCATCTTTGTAGACAACCAAATTAATTTACTTTTGTTTTAACATCATTTTTTAACTTTGTTTTGGTCAATTTGATCGTCCACACTGATAGACAGTATTCAGAAAGAGAGAGAGAGAAGAGGGGAGGAGTTGATCTTGCGAGAACTTCCGGGCGGGTGAGAATAGCCACTTTCATGTCACTATGAGACAGAGCAGAATTGAGGGCTTGGGGTAGAGTTAGGGTTAGGGGTAGGGTTAGGTCTAGGTCTCTTCTTTGTGTTTGATGGGGTGGTCGCTCATTACGGAAGTCCTTCCAGATCTTCATCTACCAAGATTGGACCGTCGTAAGTTAGTTACGACCGTATTAGAACTGGGAGGACTTCCGTAACGAGCAACCACTATGAGACAGAGCAGAGTTGAGGGCTTGGGGTAGGGGTACGGGTAGGGTTAGGTCTAGGCCTCTTCTTTTGTGTTTGATGGGGTGGTCGCTCGTTACGGAAGTCCTTCCTTAGAACCTATTTTAAGGCTGGCTCTTTCTCTGAACGCTCGGGAAAATAAACTTGAACTCTATTTCTCCAAGGTAGCGTCAATTGCCACCGAGTGACGCGGTGGCAATTGACAATAATTGACTTTTTGTCAATTGCCACCGAGTGAAGCGGTGTCAAGTCTGAAAACAACACTATCTTTAGCCTTTAGCATTATTCTATTTATAAATACATAATGTGTGTCTAATGGGTCAATTTTTTCTCAACTAATTCATTGGACGAGCTCCAATTTACTCAGTGGCAATTGACAAAAAGTCAATTTTGTCAATTGCCACCGCGCCACTCGGTGGCAATTGACACTGCCTTTCCCCAAACGGTTTCCGATCTCGAGATTTGGTGATAATTTGCGATCGGAGGGCCCATGCACGCGCACGCGTGTATGGTGTGTGTGAGTGTTCGTGTATGTGTGTGTGTGTGTATCATGTGTAAAAGTAAGGTGTGAACGAGGCGTGAGGGGGAGGGGGGTGGAGGGATTTTATTTTTGTTTACATGAAGTGAAGGATTTTAAAGTTTGCTTTAGGGATGACTTCTCGTAGTACCTTTTGAAGGCATTTTCAAATGAAGTATATAATAGCAGAGATGCCAACCAGTACGATTTTACGTATTTTAGTACGATTTTTGGCCGAAAATATGCGAATACGACTTTTCATGAAAAAATACGCATCCTGGAATGCGAAAACTACGAGATTCAGCTTGGGCGAGTAAACTTAATTAACTCAGGTCCCATCTTTTGTCAAAATAGTATCAGTATCGCAGAACTGGAATATTTGAAAACCAAGTCCGATGTGGTCAGTATTGCCGGTCGCGATCGTGATATTATATTCGTTCATCTTTTCCCCGTCTGGAGAGTACGTTTCACTTTCACTCGAAAAGGCAGCTATGGCGGCAGGCGGAAGCGTATGTGACACCGAGGCTCGATCGGGAAAATCAAGATCTACTTTCGCTTTCGTTACCACCGAGAAGTTTGCCAGCAGTTGTCAGTTCAAATAAAATGTAATACTCTGACTCGTCGCTGTGCTGTCACTTGTGGAAAAAAAAGAAAAGAAAATACAAGCGTCGTCCGATTTTTAGATTGTCTGGCTCGCCATCGTGACCGGTCACTGACCCTGTGCGCATTCGCATCACAAATAAATGCAGCATCGTGTGAGCAAAGACCGTCTTTGTGGGAGTAACGGCCTTGCGAAGTATATGACTATGGAATAGGGGAGGAGATTATTGATTTTTTGGGGGGTTTAAGATACTATCGGGGGTTTAAGGCAACACCAGAGGACAAAAACTGGAAGCACTTTTCAGAATTTTGATTAGAGCTTTCTGCAAAGCGCTCGTTGGTGCAGGCCATGTACGGAATCGGGACCCCTCATACTTTGCAAGTCTGTGTTATTGAAATAAAGTGTTCGCGTTTCATTGGATGGGTGATAGTAAATTATACCTACTTGGATTGGTGATAGTAAATTATACCTACAGTGTATGTTGTAGTTTTCTGTTCAAGACTGGCAGATTTTCAGTGTCACTGCATCTTGCCCTACCACAGTTGTTACAACTCTCACAGTGCATGGGTCTACTTAAGCCATTCAAGTTATTGCTTTTCTCTGAGTTTGAGCAATAATTTGAGTCTGTCAGTTCATAATATGAATCATGACACCCAGACTGGTTCTTGATAGTCGAAATTCTTGTTCTAGGCCCTTCCGAACCCTCAAAACAGGATTTGTTTTTTATATAATAATAATGAGAGGAAAATACTATATAATAGACTGAAATACTTAAGTCAAACAAGACCCCAGTACAACATTGAACGCTGACATGTTGTTGACTGGATACATGTATTATAAACTGTACGCGTGTGTGCTCCCTTTTCAGAGCTGGTGAGCTAGTAATTTTTTTTTTCAGGAAATATTGCTGGACACCCTGAACATTTTACTATTACTGGTTGGTCGACCATCAATGATTTATTTATAGAGGCACCAGCCATCCATGTCCAGGTGCTGTTTTAGCCTACTGGTCGGTCGGTCGGTCGTGGGGAATACACATTTTCGCCTGAAAATACACATTTTCATATTTCCCAATACTCATTTCGGTTTTCTGTGGTTGGCATCTCTGTAATAGTCCAGGAACGTTGCCTCAACCACAACTGAAGTATCTGAATTTTCAGACATTCAAAAATCTCTCGATCTAGCTCTAGAAATTGAATTCGATGCTAAGAACGCTTCTTACCAGTCCTCGCAGAATGGCAGAATGAGAATGATAGATGACGCCTAAATCTCGCTAATAACCAAAAAGTCTCGAAAGCGGAAACCGTTAGGAGAAATAGAGATCAAGTTTATTTTCTCGAGCGTTCCGAGAAATAGTCACTAAATTATAAATTTAATGATGGCTAATAGCGGCCGTATTATAATTATTCTAGATCTAGATGTAGAATCTAATCTAGATCTAATAAGTTATACTAGCGGCTAACTGCAGCCCGTCAGCCATGCTCTGATTGGTTATCAAGGTTTCCTCCTCCTTTCTCCATCTATCTAACCTCTCTCCTTCAGTCTAAAAGACTAAAAGCCTAGATCTAGATCTAGCTAGGAGGTTCTTTCCTTCAACCTTTTTCATCCCGTTTTCCTCCCCCCTTTGTCCCATCCACCAGCTTGTTTCTTAGATTATAATTTCTTCTCTATATATTCATTGTCATATGTTTTGATCTCTTCAGACCATTCTGAGATTCTCTTCTAATCATTCTCTTCTCGGTCTTGAACTTTAAAAAAGAATTAATGATTCATTGTGTGTATGTGCGTGTGTGTGTGTGTGTATGACTGTATGTGTGTGGTGTGCGTGTGATATTTCAATTCATCTTTAGATTACTATCTCTTATCAATCTGATGAATTATTTGCAGACATAAGGCTGTAACGGAACACTTGTTGGCTAATAATTTCTAAATGAACTGATAATCGAAAAGAAATTTTATTTCTTTCCTTAATAGATTCTAGATCTCTAGATCTCTACCTTTAATCTTTTAACCCCTATCCCTACACCCTGGGGTCATTTTGTACCCCCGGGGTTGTGTTCTTCACATTTTAGAATATTTAGTACGAAGATCTCTTAGAAACTTTCAGTATTTCTCGATAAACCATTTTTGACAGACTGAAATGCAAAGCGTATAGTTGGCAGAGTAAATTTCCTCTTTGGAAAGTGGTGGCACAGAGTTCCCTATGTCGTATGGATACGATAGTAAAACACAACAGTGACAACATACGGATAGGGTTAAGTTACCAAACCGTCAAAATTGGAACCATAACACATTGACCACAACCAATCAGATTGAGAGCATGGCTGACGGGCTGCAGATAGCCGAGAAAGTTATTAAATAAGTCAGAGTAGTCTACTCAGTTTGCCACTTGAGTTTGGCTTCCATTCTTCATTTTCATTCAAATTCAAGTCAAGAGATTTCTTCCACTACTGAATCTGTGAAACCGAATATTCGTCGGGCCTTACCTTTGATTTTGTTGAATCCGAGTGATCGTATGGAAGTGAGTATTCCCACCCGGTGTGGGATTGATTTTTAAAAATTTCCACCTGGGTTGGGTCACTTCTCATCTTTCCTATGGCAACATTTAGGTAAGCCTACAAGACTATTGAGCGAGAGCTGTACAAAAAGTCGAGATTCTAGTGGATTTAGGATCTATCTATCTAGATCTAGTTTTACAGTAACAAGTAAGATGTAATGCAGGCTGAAGGCTGACCTCTTAACCTGGTGAGAATTAGACGTGTTTCCACTGGCAGATTTAAGTACTAGATCTAGATCTAATACCTAGGTCTAGATCTAGAATCTAGTACGCCTCTACAATTTTATACTGGGCCTGGAAATAGGCTATTGAGCACATTCAAACGAGAGTGCTAATTTAATGCTAACTGGAAAAGATATCACTTTTAGCTTTTGAATGTTTTCTGTCTTATCATATGAATCTGATTGAAAGCAAGGAAAAAGGCCAAAAATATGAAAATGAAAATAAACTAAATCCTGCGCACAACACACACACCTTAGTCAAAAAATGGCGGAAGGCTCACAAGGACATATTAAGGTCATTTAGTTTTCTTTTATTCTTTTATTCCCATGGGGGGGGGGGGGTTAAAATATTTTTATATTCCCACCAGAGGGGTGGGAATAATGGCAGTCGTTCGTTATTGCATTGTGAGCAACAAGTTGCGTACTGGAGGGCTTACTTAGCAATTTTAAGGCAAATGATTCAGCCGCAGTGTCTGTTTCTACAGAGACCAGCGCACAATTTATTATGAAAACTTACTAGACTAGCCTGCCTTTCATTGACCAGTAGCAGGTGGGGTGGGGGGGAGATAAATGATTGTGATGCGTCTGTATCTCTGCTGACTCCTCGTACCAGAAACTGTTGTGCCTACAGCCCATCCTCCAAAAAATCCCCACAAACTCACACACTAACTACCACCCGTCTGACCTCTCATGACCCTGCACACACTAAAACTTGTCATGTCTCATGTGCATGTTAACTGTTGGTGTAAAAGAAACTCTTGATCTGACACATAAATTATAAAAGGTACACAATACACGGCGTACAGACAGCGCTCTTTTAGTTGGATCGGCGATGGAGTGACCGGGTCACGGCGGGCCGGTCACCCAGAGGTCACTAACCCGCCCTCCCACTACCTGCGTCGGTAGCCGGTGAAATGAATTTTTCAACACAGGTTTTATCGTCTTACACCCAAAAAAAATATCATACGTGAACACAAGTTTGTTCTTTAGAGAAAGCAACTAAACCTCTTTATTGGTACGAAATAGCAATACCATGGCTGCTCACGTTTTTGAGTTAGCTGCTCTTAAAATGTATGTCTATTTATAGTTAGTCAAAACAACAAACACATATTGAATGGCTAATAATAACTTATAAGCCTAACGATAAATATTTACAAAACTGCCACGTAAGACAGGACAATGTGTTTAGAAATTGACTCACTCAAAATTTTGTTTCCAGCACGAACATGGAACTTGTCATGAGCATGATAGCCAAAACGCTTCCCTGCATTCATGACTTTTTGTATCCAATGGAATGTGTATCCTCCTGAATAATGATATACTGACGTATCTTCAATATACAGCACCGATTTCTTTTCACGAAATGAACATGTACAGAATAAAAGTATACATTTATACAATTTTTCTTTCTAAACATATCCAGCAGCACGCAATGAGGGAGCTATTTGCAGGAGATGCGACACAAAAATAAAACGCATTATGTCTATCTGGTTTGAGATCCTTCGTGCTCTGGCTTCCAGTTTTGAGATCTCTTGGTAGCTGCTTTCTGTGTCCTGTGCTCCTAAAAGCCCGAGAGCAAACATGTGTTGTTGTATGTGTGGAATACAGTGTTGCTATGATATGTGTGGCTTTGGGATAACTTTGTGGGGAAATAGCGTCTGAATGCGGACATGTAATTGTCGATTGCTAAGAAGATTTGTGGAAGTGAAAATCGTTCGACTGGTTTGAGATTTGATATTGCAGTGTGAACATGGCTAAATCTTTCATTGAGAAGATTGAATATTGCTTCCATTCCTTTTGCCTCCTCAATTTTTGCAGTTTCGACGGAGTATTTTCTTGTTTCTGTACAAATTGTGTTTGTTAGTTCCTTGCATACATGGGGATGGAGGGAAGTATGTTTGGGGTGTTTTACGATGTTAGCTTGAAATTGATCTTTGTATGCAGCCACCTAAGCGGTACCGACAAAACGGAGAAGGAATTCATATTTCTGCTATTGTCAAACGCACACCACATGTACCTACTAGTGTCAACTGCTTTTTTGCAGCATAAATTGACGTGACGTAACACCCTATCTCCCTTTGATAGTTGAAATCGCGGTAAAACACTTGACACAAATGTTAGCGGAATACAACTGTTCATTTTCGTCCCTCACATCAATCCCATAAATCAAGAGAATATCTCCTGCCATTGTCTTACATAATCGGGGCTTTCTGCACTTTTTTTTGTTTGACAGTTAAATTTAAACACCAACACACCCGACAAAGTCCATTCAGAGACTCTATGCCTCTCATATGTGTGACTGGCCCATTGCAGTTTAACGATTTTTACTTAGGAACACAATTCACTAACTGATAGCCAGTCACTGCAAAGTGCTGGAAAAACAAAATTCACATCATTAGAAAATATGATTTGATGGCTATCACACCGCGCAAACAGAAATAAAGACCATCGTTCCATTCTCGAATGATTTGTAATTAAATTTGAAGAGATAACATTATTATCGGCGCTTCCGATCACTTAACACTCACAATTTAAAACTGTTATTATTCCCAAACAAATCAATGAAAACTGTTGAAACTTTCACAAGATATCAAGAAGACGTAGACGAAGCGGAATTTGTGAAGAAATAGATTCTAGGGGTACAGTGAGCATCATTTTACGGCTCATGAAATTAGGGGGGGAAAGGCGTTCTGATAAGGACAAGATAGGACAGCGCTGTGCACGAGTTGACCCCGGTCAATCCCTGACTTGACGCGTGAAATTGCAGGTCACCTGCCGCTAATTTATGGCCTACCGCGGGGGGCCCGGACTAACTAAAAGATTGCTGAGACGGAATTTCGGACGCCGTGAATAGGCTAGGCTAATAAGCATGTAATGATCCACAGTGTTAGACTTAGTGCGATTAACGGTTTCTTGGAATAGAGTTGACTTACGTTGGTTGCCACTTCGTTGAATCCGAGTTCCACTGTATCTGAAGTCAATCTAATCACATAAAGGCTAAGCCAGGCTAAATATTAAGTAGGCTGGTGGAATTATTCAGGAGGGTTACGTGTCTGGGTCTGGTGAAAAAGTTCAGTTCGTGAAGAGGGGAGGGGAGGGGGCTGATCCAACCCAACAGTACAGTCCAAAATAATTTGATTCATCATCGAGTTTGAATTATGTTTTGAATTACAATGACTTCTAAACTCATTTCAATGTATTCTTTCAGACCAACTTTCCGGAGCTACAAGCCAGAGCATGATTCACTTAAGGAACAAGCAAAACCAGCAGCACAGGCATCAGACAGTGAGTGTCTTACCCGCTAATGGAATACAAATGCAGACTTTTTCTGGAGGTTACTCGTTTTCTCAAAGCAGAAATATGAAACGTCTTGTCGTATTTGGTTACAGACAGTGAATCCACATTTCACACAAAAATTAATTCAGAGAAAAATAAACTCCTTACTTTTGAAGTGATGAAGATATTTGTTGCAAAATTTAATCTGTTTTGTGCTAGTTAGGGGCCTATTACTAGTCAAAACTGACAGTTGTCTGTCCTCTTTGTGACAATATTGATGCAATCTTTGTAAAAAATACTTCTTATTTTTGTCATCTTCAAAATCCAGCACTTTAAGAAAAAGAGTTAATCTTGAGTCATTTTCTTAATTTTGATACACTATCTTGTTCCAAATTTGATAATGTTCTGAAAGGATGTGGCGGCCGGTCTGCAACACCTGCGGACTGCCTACAGAAAAAAATTTCACCTATAACCATTTAGACTTTTGTGCTTTTATTTTTATGAAATTCTTAAAACATACCATTTTTGTTATGTAAGTGGTGGGAGGGTGTCACTCGTAGGTCCGTTTTCTTTTCTCTTCCTCTGTAGTTTCTATCTACCAGTCAATCTTGTTCCCTGCACTAAATGACCAATGTTGTTGTACATGCTTGTCTTTGATCAAATTAACAAACAAGTTAGTAAAATGGTTAAAATGTCCTGTCTTTTCATCGTACAGTTACCATGTCAATCAAGGACCAGCTGGATGCAGGAAAGACGGACCATGTTGTTTCTGAAGTGGTAAGGGCTACTTATATAATGTGTGGAGAGTCTGTGAACTAATTCTCATACAGTGGAACTCGGATTCAACGAGGTCGCCGGGCCTGACCTAAATCCTTGTTGAATCTGAGTGTTCGTTATAGCAAACACGAGGTTATGTGCAGATTATTACAGGCACAGAGCACATAATGTGTAAAGAGAAGTAACAAGTAGTGCCTGAAATGCCTGCATATTATGAGCTGTGTTTAAAAAAAGACCAGTTCGTTCAAATGCAGGCCTGTGTCATCTCGATTGTTTGACAAAAAGTTGTGTTGCTGTGTAGAGCCTTGCACACAGCAACTTTTGATTCCATAGACCAACGCTCAATTCATTTCATAGATCTACGTCAATACTAGCTTATATAATAATGATCAGTTCCTGAGGGGAAAAGAAAGACTCTTTGATGCGTTTGTATCTGCGACGTTCAATGCCTGGACCGCTGGTGCCCCTCCCCGACACACCCACAGTGTCACACGTGTGCAGGCCGCCCATCCGACCCCGACACACGCCAGAGTATACATGTGCGTGTGCCAACAACACATGTGTTGGTATGAAAAAAGGCCGCTGATTGGTCGCATTCAATCGGCTAAGTGAGCAATAGTTCACGATGCAGGTGCAATGGATGGTTTTCAGGAATAGGTAAAGTTCGTTCTGGGAGAAAAATATGCAAAGCCACGTCTGTCGGGGCTGTTCCCCCTGGAAGCGACCTCATTGAATCCGATCTTGCTGATTTAAGTGCTTGTTGAATTCAGGTTATTTTTATTGATTTTAAAGAAGAAAAAAAACGTGGAAACTATCTCCTCTCGTTGAATCCAAGTTCTCGTTGAATCCGAGCACGTTAAATCCGAATTCCATTGTAACATGAATGTCTTCTCTGAGGCATGTTTATAAGTCTGGTCGATGGTGCTCTGTTTCTGTCTGCCTACTTCCCAGTGTGTGCTGAAGGTCACTTTTCTTTGCCGTTTCATACTGCTGAGATGAATCACTTTTTTTGTTTTGTTTGAAGGTCCTGTCTCCGAATTGCCTTTGTATTTGATCGAGAAGATGTCATTGCCAGGTGCTATTTCTTTGCTGTCCATCTGCTTCTTCTACCTGTTTTTTTCCCTATTCCCTGAATTAAATAAGGTCTACATACTTCACTTCTCGTAGGCTTACTCTCCGCCTTTTTCTTAGTACAAATTACTGTTCTACAGTTAGCTGACAAAGCACCTTTTTTTTATTCACAGCAGATTCGATTTAAAAAAAAAAAAAATTTCTGTCGGCATAACCATTTTGAAATAGAGTTCTTCTGAAATGTAATTTCTAAATTATTAAAAAACTAGTTAGTTTCACTTTGATTTGTTCACACAAATAGGGTAACTGATCAGGCTTTCGGTTTAGCAATTTAAAAAAAATTGACTTTTATCAAGATGTTTTTTGTTGCCTGACAAAATAGTTAACTTACTGGGTTTTTTTCATGACTTTAGTAATGGGATAGTATTGCCTGTCTTGGAGTGGCTTATCACTGCACCAAGTTTTGTGCAGGATGGTTGTGCAGTACTGTGGTGCGGTCTGCTTTTTGTTTTTCCTGTCTAACTTCATTATCTATGCATCATGATTTGTTGTGTCAAAATTTGGTTTTCATTGTCCTAACTCAACTTATACTTCAACCCAACACCAAGTGACTAGCATCTGTGCTGCACACAGAAGACATGGCTTCTATCCCCAAATAGGGAGATATTTTATTGACACGTCTACAGGGATATTGTGTCTTTCTCTGCCAGGGTAGGCCCTAACAAACATGGAAGCAGTTGCCTGCCTCCTAAATGATCTAAAATTGTGTCTATAGGAGCATAAAGCATCTACTTTTATGTTTTAGAACTAGTGAATTTTGCAGTCTTTTCAGATATGAGATTCAGAGTGACCGCGCCTGAATGGTTGGAGGGTGCTGCAGGTAGATCTTACTTCAGTTCTTTCCCTCTATTGCTCCTGTCTGTTTGTCTTGCTTTTCTCTGCACTCAGCAACCATTATTACCGCAGACCTGCCACTCATCCCGATTTAGTCGGGATATCCCGATTTTTTGCCCCAAATCTAAAGCATCCCGATTTTCCCGATTTCGATCGCGTGTATCCTGATTTTTTGTCCCAGTCTGCTGTTGTGCTGGATTTTTCTAAAAACTTGCTCTGCCTTCTCCTTTATCGTGGGAAGCACCCGTTGAACTTTTTGTCAGTAGGAACTCGAAGCACTATTTCCCGAAATATCGATGCCGCATTTAGTAGTTGACTCGCCCCAAGTTGTGTGTGATCTTTGCCCGCACTCAGAATTCTCCGATGATAGCCTGGTAACTGTTACAATTTGGGACATTTAATAATCGATAATCTTCGTAGTTCCGCTGTTACTTTCAAAACAAGCCTTGTCCGAGGTCTGGTAACTGCGCGTTCACATCAAACACTCGGACGAGCCACAGTCTTTCTAACCCTTACACAACTACATGTAACTGCGCTGACAAGACAAACATACGGCCGTTGTTGTTGCTTTAGTCTGAACACATGAGGGATAAGAGATTTGTTGGTACATTTGGTCGGTCGGCCGCTGTCGTTATTCTAGAAGTAGAGCGACTGTCGCTCATCCGAGTGTTTGGTGTGAACGCGCAGTTAGTAAAATTGTTTGAATCGCGCATTCGCGTCACGTGACCTATCATCACCGTGTGAGTTCTGCGTGTCGGGGACCGTCCGTTGATGGGGTCAACTTAAGTTCATGTATTCGGGACTTATTGGTTAGGGGGGGGGGGGGGGGGTTGGGTTATAGACACCTGGACTAGGAAGGAGTGCTTGACGCGATGCTTCAGGATTTACAAAAAATAATGATAACTCGCATGTACGCACGCACACACACACACACACGCACACACCACACACACACTCACACGCAAACAAAGAAAGACTCACAGAGGATATAGGCCAAGGAATTTATGCATTATTTATGGACACCCCTGGAAAAATTTTAAGTCAGCTTTGACAGTCACCTTGGTGATTTGCTGTTGATCCTGATTTTTTTCACCAAATCCCGATTTTTTCTCCCTGAGATCCTGATTTTGAGGTTTCATAGAGTGGCAGGTCTGTTACCGCAATGTGCTACCTTGTACTTAAACAAACAAACACCCCCCGGGGCAGTGCCTCTGACTAAAGTGTCTTTAGGCCATTCCCAAAGGGGGGACATTTCTCGTTCTTATGCTCTGTAGAATTGTAAATGGGCTGATTCCACAATGTCATGCTCATAACTGTGCTTGAACTAGAACAGGGGATTGCTGCTTTTTCTTTCCTTATCCGTACTATAGCATTTCCCTCTACTTCTTTTTTATGTTTGTCATTCTCTAGTGACCCGCTATTTCCAGGGTGCCTTGATAGTTGAAGCAGACTTTGTGCTGTTGAAGCTATTTATAGAGAGGTAAGCAGAGTAAGTCTGATTCCCTGTAAGGACTTCTCTGTTGACATCCACCCCTTGGCGCTCATATGACCTTATGCAGTTGCGAGCGCCGTAAAATCTCTACTAAAACAAACAAACAAACAAGAGACTGCTCAGTGATTTCTGTATTGTTGTGAGATTTACATTCATGCCACTACACTTGTAGTTTGCTCCTTCTTTCCCTATCAAATATATGTCATCCTTATCTCTCCTCCTTTTTTTTTTATTGTACGTTACTCTTTAGTAACACCTCTAATCTTCAGCACTTTTATGACATAAATTTACACCGTGTCATTTATAACTCTTACAACAGCTAAAGCTAAAACACTGGAGTTTTAGCCCATTTTTGCTGGTAAGTTTTGATGCAAGTTTCACAAATCTGTCTCTTTTGCACCAACAGGACCTTGACAAGCTGGCTCCGAGGAAGCCAGATTGGGATCTGAAACGTGATGTCAGCAAAAAACTAGAAAAGCTGGAGCGGCGGACACAGAGAGCCATTGCAGAACTCATACGTGAGTGGGCTGTTGTTGTTGTAGTAGTAGATTTTTACTTCATCAAAGTTACTTTGCTAGCGGGTTGTTAAAGAGTGCCTTTCGTAAGTCTTACTCCTTTTCTCACTCACCATTTTTGTCTGTTGGTGTCTTTCTTTCTCTTGATACTAAATGAATATTGCCATGTCAATATGCTTCTTTTTTACTTGGATAAATACTCTGCTGTTTAGTTGTACCAATGGCTCAGTTTGCATTATCAGTCGGATGGCCTTGATCAAGTCCCTAGAAGCTTTGGTTTTTTAAAATGTGGGTTTTAAGGCGAGGTTTTATGACTTCCCAGCCACTTACCGTTCCGATCAGTGGTGGATGTTAAATGAGAAGTCCTGCCCCATGAATAACTCTACTGTGTTGAAGGGGGCTTCATTCCCAAACACATAGCCTACATACTTTACTATTTCTAACATATTTGAACAGTGCCGTTTTTGTCATACCTTTCTTGCACCCTCTGGAACTAGTATTCTCTAGCACATGTTAGTTAAGCGCATATGCTGTCATCACTGAACAGATGCCGTAAAGCACTCATATGACCTTATGCAGTTGCGAACGCCGTAAAACGCTCTACTATAATAATAGATGCCGTAAAACCTCTACTAAAAGTAACTCGCTGAACAGTGCCATCTGAACTACCCACAACAACTTATTCTAAACACGTGCCCACCCTTTTTCTGTAAGCAATGAGAGAATGCACAGATGGTGCTGCAGTAGTGCTTGAACTTCACAATTTGTTGGAATATCATCGCATGGGAGACATTTCGAGATTCTGGTCTTGTTTGCCCACTTGTGACAAAGACTAGCATCTGGAGTGTAATGGTAGGGCTCTTTGCTGTTGCTCACAAAAGACGTGAATGAGATTCCCCTTCTGAGAAGTCAATTTTATTGAATATCTCTGTCTTTCTGCTATGATTGATGCTATTTTCCACTCAATGATATCATGAAAGGAGTAAAATGTTCAGAAGCTATCATATCAACAAGGACACTGATTAATAGCTAGGTGAATTAGCTAAACTGTTTTGTGTGATCAGAAAGTTTAAGTCACATCCTTTTACGTATTTGTTGAAACAACACAATACAACAATCTGATTTGGTCATGCAGTCCTGCCTTTGCTTGTATTGACTACCAACAGTTTTTCAGCAAGGAATTTCTGATCAAGATCTTATCCAATGCTGTAGTATGTGGGGTTTTTTTTTAAAGTGATAACCCCTTTCTAACAGAAATCTTTATAAAAATTCACAAGTGAAAGGGCCTACTAAGTCTGCAGTGTTTTTATTTGATTTTGTGTGTCATATGGTGTCTCTTATACAGATGCTATTTGACTACTTTGTTTTCTCATGTTAAGAGACAATATATGTGAGGCATCTTGGTGAAGTCAGGTGATCGTCAAAACAATGAAATCGGTGAAATCGGCATTTTTTGACAACTTTGGAATTTTTCTTGAATTTTTGTTTTTGGGCTGAACACCTTATATGTTCATTCAAAGACTCATTTATGTGTGGATTTTATGGAAAACTGTTGATTTACAGCACAAAATATGTAGATTTGCAATTTCCAAGGACTCTTGGCCTATGGAAGTCTCACCAAAATTTTACTTCTCAAACGAGGTGACCCCACCTTCTTCAATCGCAAATATGTTGACTTCTATTCAAGGTTAAAGGATATTTTTTCATCGAAAGCTAGCAAAATGAACAACCTTTAAGATGATACAGTAGTCTCCGCCTAAGATCCTAGTGCTCGGGAGCAAGGAAATGCGGGATCTTAGGGGAACCGGGATCTTACCCGACGAACCGAGGGAAGAATCTATGGGGACCCATGCTAAGGCTCACAATTGGTAAAATGGTCTCCCTCCACTCTAAAATACACTGACATGACCGCTTGGTGGGTTTATGACGTATGGCGAGCAAAGAGTGGTTAACCTTGATGACCTATCACAGTGCATAGTGGGATGAGGCGTGCCATTTTTACTTATTTTATCCTATCATGCAGGGTTGGTGATTTTTTTGATTTTTTAAAGAAAAATTTAAAAAATCGATTTTTAAAATTTAAATCAGATGTTTTTTATTTAAATCGGATTTTTTTTTATTTAAAAAAAAAATGTCCACACAGTTTGGGATTTTTGATGGCTAAAAGTATGTTCTTATAATGCAAAATGCATTGTCTTTATTTTAACTAATGATTAATGTAAGCAACTGCAAAAGAAAGCCTTAATTTGCTATGTCAGTGAATTGTGGCTACAGAAAAATGAAGAAAATATCAGTTTAAAAGGAAGGGGGTGGGGGGGGGGGGGTAATTATGTATAGATAAACTTGCATTTTATTACAGTGTGTGTGTGTGCGCGCTTGTGTTTGTCTAAAAAGAAAAAGAAAATGTTAATTTCAATTATGAAAAAAAAGTAAATTGAATACTGTATTATTTTACAGTGACAGGGGGGAAAGCAGACTTTTAAGCATGATTATATTAGTCCACTAAACCTTATATATCTGTTTTATAAAACCAAGGAAAGGAATTCTGAATGTTTAAAGATGTAAAAACAGAATACATTTTTTTTCTAAGTGATTTAAATCTCTGAGTTTTATTTTTAAAATCAAGTTGATTAAAAAATTTTAAAAATCGACCTGATTTAAATCAACCCAACCCTGATTTCAATTATGAAAAAATAAATAAATTGAATACTGTATTATTTTACATGTACTGTGACAGGGGGGAAAGCAGACTTTTAAGCATGATTATATCAGTCTCCTGAACCTTATATCTGTTTTATAAAACCAAGGAAAGGAATTCTGAATGTTTAAAGATGTAAAAACAGAACAAAATTTTTTGGGAAAGTGATTTAAATCACTGAGTTTTATTTAAATAAAAAAAAAAATCAACTGATTTAAATCGACCTGATTTTAAACCAACCCAACCCTGATTTCAATTATGAAAAAAAAGCAAATTGAATACTGTATTACTTTACAAATTTACAGTGACAGGGGGGAAAGCAGACTTTTAAGTGCTTGATTATATTAGTCTACTAAATCTTATATCTGTTTTATAAAACCAAGGAAAGGAATTCTGAATGTTTAAATATATGTAAAAACTGAATACATTTTAAAAAAGTGATTTAAATCACTGATTTTAATTTTAAAAATCAAGTTGATTAAAATAAAGAAAATCAACTGATTTAAATCAACCTAGTTATGATTTCAATTATGGGAAAAAAAGTTAATTGAGTACTGTATTATTTTACCGTGAAAGGAGGGAAAGCAGACTTTTAAGCATGATTGTATATTAGATCTAGTCTACTAAACCTTATATCTGTTTTATGAAACCTAGGAAAGGAATTCTGAATGTTGAAATATGTAAAAACTGAATAAGAATATTAAAAATAATAAATGATTTAAATCACTGATTTTTATTTTAAAAATCAAGTTGATTTAAATTTTTAAAAATCAACTGATTTAAATCAACCCAACCCTGCTATCATGAGTGTCAAGATCTACGCTTATCCTGTTGCCCCTCCCCCTTACCTGTCGAAAATTCATAGCTTTCCATCTTTGACTGAGTCCCACCCCCCCCCCCCCCCCCCCCTCCTCAAACCGCCTTTGTCATTACACACCTATACGTTGTGAACACACCAATTAAAATTCAGTCTGTCTCGCAAATTCGGGAGTAGAGACAACTTCTGCAATGGTCAGGGAAGGGTTCACAGTTCAATGTCATCCCGCCTGGTGCGAACGTATAGACCCTACCCACCCAGCGAATGGTGTACGTTTAGGGGGAGAGCTCAGGTGTGAGTGCAATGTTCGGGGAAAACAAACATGTCCGTCAGTTCACACCCCGGTGTGATCCCGTCTGGGGCAAACATTGTATCGCTTCATCGAGATTTACAACGTGTATGTGATCACATTCACGATAGTGGCTGATCTTTGACGCGACGGACAGTTTATTGGATCGGCTGTCCCGCCCGGGTTTTTGTTCCGCAAATTATGATCTGAAATGCGGGATCTTAGCCGTATGTAGACCTTCAGAGTGAATCAGAGCGGGATCTTCAGTCTGAGGTGAGGGGTGACTTTTGTATAGTAAAAATTCTGTTTTCTTAAAACAGCGGGATCTTGAGCGAACCGGGATCGTAGGCGATGGGATCTGAGGCGGAGACTACTTCACTGATACCAATAACTCATATGCCCCAAAACTGATGAGCCGAGCGCCTGATTTCACCGCGTCGCGACACATATTATTCTTAAAAGTGATGTGGTGACTGAGTAGTTTTGCATTAATCCTGCTTAATTAATGTCTGTTGTTTTGAACTATTGCAGGTGAAAGGTTAAAGGCCAGCCAGGAAGACCTGGCCTCCATGGTCAGTGTAGGAGCCGAACAGAACCGGATGGAAGCTGGGGATGAAGACTGATGGACAATGTGTGTGGTGTATGTGTGTTTGTATGTGTGGTGTGCATGAGTTTGTACATGTGATGGGTGTGTGTTGTATGTATGGGGGTTGAGTTGTATATTTGTGGTGTGAGTTATGTATGTGTGGTGGGTGTGTTGTGTATGTATAGTGTGTGTATCTGATGTGTAGGTGGTGTGTGTGGGGGGAATTTTTTTGTATAAATCCTTGTTAGATTCTGAGATAGAAAAAGAGGAGGTGGGGGGGAGGGAGTTAAATGGAGGGAGGTAGACATGCAGACAATGAAAGAGAGAGACATTGAGATGTAATGAAATTATGCTCCATATCTGGTGCAAGCGCTCAGCTGGTTACTAACTTGGCCCATACTTGGAAGTTCAAAGTTTCAATCTGAGCATTTCCTGATTTTTCTCCTTCAGAGGTATATTTCTTCTCAGGTGGTTGTCCTGATCAGGAATCAAATATTTCACCTTTGAATTTGAAATGCCATTTTGTTGCACCTAATAATGACTTAACTCTGTCAGGAGCACAAAATCTGTTTTTTATAGTCGCCAAAATAATTTGTCATGTCTGTTTGTCACATCTTTTGTTGAGTTTATATCATGTTGAAGTATGAAGGGTTTGGACTTTGTTCAAATTGGTAATAAAAAAAAAAAAATCCAGATTGAGATACAAATGTACTAGATCTATATCTGTGCCATACTAGGATGGTATGGTGTGAATATTTTCTCATTAGTTGAATCTGTCAAAAGTCAGTTCAGCCCAGATTCCTATAGATACAGCCTTCTGGTACAAGATTTTTTCCATTGAAACCACTGGAGTGTACTTGTCAATTACACACATTTGTGGTACAAAAAACAAGTCCATAGGTATGCAAGGGGCTGCCTTTGACTGGACAATGATTATGTGTAAAGATGACGAGGGTATGTTGCTGATTGTTTTGTATGTGTTCAGGAGAGGTTTGTGTCTTAAGGCAGCAGCTGTGTTCTGTACTGACTAATGTGTGATTTTGTTGATTTTTGCCATGGTTAAAACAAAATAAATCATTTGATGCTCAATTTGTGTTGTTGCAGGTTTATTATAACTGGAATTTAAGTGTATTGTTGAATATTTTATGAGTACCTGTTCAGTTTTGGGCAATTTTAAACAAAGCATGCTGAACAAACAAATTATTTGCTAAGGAGAAGATGAATTGAACCTATATATATCTATGGGTTTTTGGGTTTGTTTAAAAAAAAAAGAGAGATTTATGAGAAGATAAAAGTGAAGATGCTGCTTGGAATCCAAGTCTCTATGCCAATGCTTTGGATACACACAAGTACACAACAGTTTTTGGTCATTTAGGGGCGGGGGGTTTGGGGGCTACATCCTAGAAGGCCCAATTCGGCTCAAGATATGGAATTTGAGTTGTAGGCATTTTTAGCTTCCTCAGCCTCCCCTACAACTATTTCATCGCATTAGAACCCCCAAAAACCTGATTTCTTCTCATACGGGCATGTTTGTCACTGCCATTTCCTCATAAAGTCAATATTTTATTTTCCATTATCGGCTGGTTTCTCAAAACGCGATTTTTCTCTATACTTTTTTTTAACAACTCCACCATTTTTCATCCAATCTTCTTGAAATTTTCACAGAATGAAGAGAAGATGTAATACTAAAAATTTTTACATTGAATTTTTTTATATATGGAATAGATTTTTGTAGGTGATGTCTGGAGTGTGGATTTTCACGGATTTTTTGCAAATTTGAATACTACCTCAGGAAAAAAAATCATAAAAGATGTTCTAATTTGTTTAGGAAAAAAACAACAGACAAATTTTTAGATCTAATGTTTGTTAACACGTATGCAAAAAAACAAATTCCATGAGCAATAAGTGGCGTATTCATTACGTAAGACATGTCAACGATATCCCTTATTGCTGCCGTATCCATGGAAACGAAACGTTTTTCTCAAATTTGATTGCGGATTTTAAGTTAAGTGTGTGAAATTTTGTAAAATTTTGGTCCGCTAATAAGTGAGATAGCCGTCAGGTGTAGCCCCCCCCCCCCCCCCCCCCCCCCCACCCCCCATCGGTACGTTATAACTATTTTGAGCCCTTCCCTTGTATTTTTTTAAGTTTTCACTTTGCCACGGGGATACTGGTCTAACATGGTTGGGATCTCCACAGAGAGCTCGGAATGCATGTCCTACGTCCTGCCACTTTTTTCTTCTTTATCTTTGTAAGATATCCTTTGAACTACGTATCCCTCGAACTACTGAGGCTGGCACCGACAAATTTGAGCTATCCGTCCTATACTGTGCTGTATATGATAAAATAAATTGAGTCAAGGGGAAAAGTAAAATACAGTGGAGTCCACTTATAACGAGTCCTGGAGTAACGAGAAGTCTGTTATAAAGACAATTTTCTAAAACCCCGTTTTTTTCCTTCTTTATCTTTGTAAATAAAATACTGCTATAGCGCAATCAGATAAACGCGCGAGTCGGTTATAGCGGAATATTGCTGCTGCTGTGAACAACCCAAAGGCCATTTATACCTGATGAAAACCACGCCAGTTGAGAAACTTGTTGGTGATCAAGCGAAACCAAGAATGGGAGAGCCCATGTGTGCCAACGATGAAGGCCAGAGCGAATGGGTGGGAAGGGAGGGGCATGCGCACACAAGCAGTTGTGAAGCAGAACGCATTGCCTGATAGTTATAGGCCAGCCTAGTGTAGATTATCTAGGCCTATCATGCCTCTCACTTCTCCGACACGTGGATGGAGAGGTCATAGTGCTGAGACGGATCATGGAGTGAATGTGTGACGTGCGCAAGCAGACGCGGGAACGCACCACAAGGTGTAGTGGGGTGGGGGAAAACGCAGCGGGCGAGTTAGCCAGGAGAACTTTCGTTCTGATAGTCAACGCCCAGCTGTCAACATCGCTAATGCTAGATAGAGAAAGAAACCTGATTCAATTTTTGATCAAGTAAGACCTAGAGGCCATGTTGAACAAAGCCATCATCAGAGGAGATACCAAAAAGTAAAAATAAACAGAACACCAAACTCATAGATTAGGCCTACTTTATTATTTCCTTTGAATTTATTACTGGATCCCTTACAACGAGAATCCTGCTATAACGGACATTTCGTACCGATCCCCCCTCTCGTTATAACAGGATTCCACTGTAGTTTGAGCTGTGACTCTAGCTTTCCTCTGCTTTAAAGTTACGGACATTTAAAATGATCTATCCTATAGAAATGATCCTTTCTACACAAGACTTAAACGGACAAGTTTATACAAAATTGAGAGAAATGTAACTCTTGAATAACCACAATCAGGCTATTTTTTTCTTTATCTAAATTAGTATTTTTCTTATCAGAGTGAATGCGTTTAAATTCCAAAAACAAAAATGGAGACAACATGTTCTTCAAAGACTTTTTATAACCAAAAATGTGTTTAAACAGTGTATTTAAATACATTATTTATTTCAAATGGATCGACCATTGTAATGTTTTACTGTGAAACGAGTCTGAAGAAAATTGTGCACCTGTCTCCTGGTCTTCTACCTTAGACTATAATATATATATATATATATGTCTATCTATATATATATATATATATATATATATATATATATATATACATGTACTGCATTGAACTTTACATGCGTCCAGACTTGGGTATACTCATAAATTATGTCATGTAACCACTTCAGTGCCAAGTTGTTTGGAGGGCACCACTGGTAGGTTTTATTTCTTTTCTTTCCCTCAGTTGTTTCTCTCTATCTTTCTTGCTTTTTCCAAACACTAAATCACAATAATTGTATTGATGTGCCTCTCCATAATGTTTGAAATCAAGACACTTGAGGAAAGACAAACTGCATTGAACTTTTTATATCCAGTCTTGATAATTCATGAATTGTGAAAGTCATGAGACTGCTTCAAATGTTGGACATCCCCTCTGCAAATTCATGTTCACTTAACTTATCGTTGAAAGACGCCCCCATCTTCAAGTCATCATGATCTACATAATTTAATGTGTCTTTATTGAAGGCTGCCTCCATGTTCCAGTCTTCCTATCTACACAACTTAAATTAACGTTGTTGACGATTGCTTCCATCTTCGAGTCTTCATATCTACATAACTCAGCGTGTCGTTGTTGGAGGTGAGAAGGAACCAGTGCACACCCTGTCCTCTCACCGGGCTAGACCAGTTGCCGTTGAGGTTGGAGCGGTGACACTTCTTGTACCACCAGGCCCCTGTGTATGCTTCGGCACAGTTACAGTCGCAGTGGTCGATGTCGTGGTCCTCAGTGCTGGGAACAACAGGGGGAAAAAGAGTCACCTCTATATCATTATTGCGCCACCTCAGTATTGCAAAGTTCTATCTGACATTTTTGACCGTTTTGAGTTATTAAGACCATGAGGTCAGAAACCAAATGCTCTGTCTGTTCTATGAAAATCGTAAGAACATTCGGAGTCGATTTCAAGATATTCAAAGTGAATTGCATTCTAAAAAGCTTAACACACTGTACTGTGAAGCTAGAAAAATTTGATGAGGAATTTCTCAAAACTAGATATTGAGCAGATAGAACCTAGTGATTTTGAGGAGCCATTACATGTAGTTAGTTCTAGTTATGGTTGCTGGAAATAAAAGGAGAAAAAATAGACACTCGCTATCATTATTTATGGTTGGTTGTTGGTCGCAAATACGAGAAAAAATACTTACCACTACATGTATTATTATGTATGGCGTCGGTAATCTAGTGGACAAGCCCTTGGACTCATTGGCATGAACTTATGGGTTAGGGGTTTGAGGTTCAGCTCAGCATAGCGTTATGTCTTCGGAAAAAGGCTCTTTACAAACGTTTTTCACATTTGACTCCAGTCCTATCGGAGATGGACGATACATTCTAGATTGGGCTACAGTGTATTTAAATAACCGAACAGTGTTTTTTGTTTTTGTAAAGTGTTTTACGGCGCTCTCAACTTCATAAGGTCATATGAGTGCGCGGGTCACACCTAATATTTTCAGTTGGTAGTATATTTAGAATTTTGCCCGGGTGGCGGCCGAAGCCTACTCTTATCGATTTTAGACCACCAAGGGATCTTTAACTTGCGCAACTTGTACACGGGCCCTCAGAGATTTTTCGCCCTTGTTCGAGAAGGCTAGGTGTAGATCTTTCCTACCAGAAGATCAGGGGTGTGGCTGAAAGACAGCAGCACGAAGAAGCGAAGGAGTAGCAGTAGAAAGGCTGCAGAAAGAATCAGGAGCCCAGAGGAAGGGGCAAAGGAGGTGAGGGGGGTGGGGCAGAAAGAGGAGACGAAAGCAGACGACAGAACATTGCAAGAGAGCAGGAAATGGGGTGAAAGGAGACAAATTTAGAGAAGAAAATTTTTCGGTCGCTACCCGGATTCGAACCCGGGACCTTTTGAATGAGAGGCCAACACCTTAACCTCTAGGCCACGAGAGCCCCCCCCCCCCCCCCCCCCCGAACAGTGTTGCAAGGGGCGTTCAACCTAGACAATATTACATCGTTTACATAATTATTGATTAGATCAAGTTGTGGTTGTTGTTATTAATACAGGGGGCTCTCTTCATATATAGCGAAGGAAATTCTTCTTCTCTAAAAATTGTCTCCTTTCACCTCCTTTCCTTCTCTCTAGCAGCAATGTTCTGTCGTCTGCTTTCACCTTCACTTTCTGAACCCCACCCCTTCACCTCCTTTGCCCCCTCCTCTGGGCTCTTGACTCTTTTTGTAGCCTTTCTACTGCTACTCCCTGGCTCTTTCTTACTGCTTTCTTTCTTTCAGCCACACCCCTGATCTAATGGTAAGGAAGATCTACTCCTAGCCTTCTCGGACTAGGGCGAAAAATCTCGGAGGACCCGTGTGCAAGTTGCGCACGTTAAAGATCCTTTGATCGTCCAAAATCGATAAGAGTAGGCAAAATTCAAAATTTCCTACCAACTGAAGATGCTAAGTTAATGTGTCCCGTGCGCTCATATGACCGTATGCAGTTGCGAGCACGTAAAATACTGGCCAAAAGCAAAAACAAAAAACATTACAGGCAAAGAAAGAGTAGCGGGTTTGGTGATTGGAAGGGGAATTGGTAGTAGGTCTTGCCTTTTTTGTTTCGCTCTATTGTTTCCGTCTATCCTGCTTTTCTTTCCAATGCGGCTAAATGACCACCATTGGCTTGTTTCAATTCATTACTTTTCTCCCCCCAAACAAGCACAAAACAGCAACTCATTTACATTATCATTTTGTTTATCGTGGGAACAATATTGAAAAAGAAAGACTCATCGTCATCATTGGTTATGGTTGCTTGGAACAATCCTGAAAGTAAGGCATATTTTTGCACTTCAATGGCTTTGTTTCATAAACGAAAGACTTCTTTCTTTGTACCTTCAAGAGATTTCTTCTTCCTGACAGTGAGATACTTTTTTCAACTAAAAGCCTTTTTTCCTTGAACATGAAAGACATCTTCCATGGTACCTGAAAAACATCCCTAAGTTATTACCTGAATGTCTATGAACGGCATCTTTTCAACTAAAGGCACATTTTTTAGGTTGGGGGGGGGGGAGGGGGGGGGGGGTACTAGAATTGCATCTTTTCTTACATATTTGAAATGCATCTTTTTTGTACCTGAGAGGCATCTTTTTATGCCTGGAAGTGAAAGACATCTTCTATTTCAACAGTATATTTTTTTTGTAAAACTGAAAGGCATCTTCTTTGCGTTTCCTTTTTTTTAAAATAAAGAATTACCTGAACCTGTCTTTTTCTACCTAATGGCCATTTTTTTTCCTTCTGCACGAAAAGGCACACTTTCTCCTTATTCGAGAATTCTTAAGAATCTCTTGCGGTACCTGAAGGGCATTTTGTTGTGGTACCAGAGGCCATCCCCCGCTGTACCAGTGTAGCCACCCACCAGAAGCTGGTAATGGGTGGACACATCCAGCACCTCAAAGAACTCATAGCTGGCGTAGTAGGTAGTGTCTTGGAAAGTCATGTCGATGCGAAGTTCGTGCCTGCTCTGAAGGATAGAAAGGGAGAGACGATGTTGTTTCTAGTTATTAGTTTTACATCTTACGTGATGAAGGGGCAACGAGGAAAACAAGCGGAGAAAGAGTAAAGACTTCCAAGTTAACATGTACCAGAGCTTTAGAAAAAGGGTGAGTGACTCAGTGAGTATTTGCGACTTGATCTAAACGACCTAAACCATTGTGCTGATCATGGGGAAAGGCGGGGGTCATGTGATCGTCTAGCTAAGAAAAGAATTTAAAGACCTAATTTCAACATCCTCACAGAAAAAAAGAAGAAAAGTTATATACATGTCTAATAATTTCTGTATTGAAAAAGACAAAGGTTTATTCTAACAAATTACACGTATTTCATCTTTCTAAAATCCATATTGTTTGAAATTATTTTATAAAAAAGGTATATCAAAGAAGACCAGAAACAAGAAAAAAAGAGAAGATGACGACGATAATTACAATAATAGCAGCTACGAGTAATCAAAACTAGTAACAACAGCATACAACTTTAACCATGTATGAACTAACGTGACTCGTGAGGTTATGGATATTGTCCAAGCCTAACCAAAAGTCCCCCGTGACGTCACCAAAGCCTCGTCTGTATGTAGCCCAATCCTGCTGGAAGCTTACGTTGCCGAACACTCGCCTCTGAAATCATAAATTATAAATGACTGTTTTTGCTTTTGAGAGATTTTTAGGATTTTGCTTAAACACGTTATGCAGGCGTGGTTCGTCCATAAAGCACGGCCGTGCAGTGCCACCCAAATTTTGCCAAAGTCCATGTGCTTTAACTTAACATAATAAGATATTCAACAGTGTAACCTGACCCATAAATCGCTCTTTTGGATAACCCAAGCGATGACGACACTTGTAGCGAGTTTGGAGGTTCATTAATATTAATAAGACGGCACATCTCAAATGAGCTCTTGCCAAATAGTGCCGAAATATAGCCCACAGTAGGCAGTCTAAAAATAAACGCGACAGACTGTATACTATTCTATGCCAGAATTATGTGAGTCCCGGAGCAATCCAGCAGAGTGCTCAAGTGAATTGTGATTGGTTCATTGTCTGGCCACTTTTTAAACTGACAGTGACCGTGAACCTGAGGGAGATGAACGTAACATAATTAAGTGTCACCGTCCTATGAGTTGTGCCTTTGAGTGGTTTTGTAGTGAAGTGATGAATGTTATTACTTGAGCTGCTCAGTTCCAATACAAGATGAACAAAATTGATGTTTAGTTCTAAAAATCAAAGCGACAAGTAAAAAGAATGAAAATCAAAGCATGAGGTCCTCCTTCACCAACTCAAAGATCCTAAAATTATACACCATCTCATTAAATAAGCCCTTGACTATCTTCAGCCTGCAATAGCTTAATTGTGCTCGCCTACCACCCACTTTTTAGTCTCACGAGCCGCCCCTGCCTTAATGCAAAGAGTCAACTGGGATTGGAAATAATACAGACGAAGACAGACGGAGAAACTCGTTTAAAACCCCCCCGGAAAAACCCAACCCTAAACAAACAAAGGAAAAGAAACCAAGCGTTCCATTCTGGACTCGGACACTTTTATTCTTGGTGCAAGGGCAAGAAGCCTAACTGCTGCACCATAGACGCCAGTACATGTTTTCGCCTTGAAGGAAGATTTCATTCTCTAAGTTTGAGTAAAGGTTACAGAGAAGTGAATCTCTGATTCTATATATCGAAATTCGAAATGTTAGGCCTTTTGAAAAGAATGAATAGTCGGGAAGTAAATATAATCAAGCACCCACCAACCGTCCGCCTAGACTAAGCATTTCCGAACTTTTAGCAGAATATTCACCTCGGAAGAAGATGTCCTTTCACTTTTAATTAAAACTGCTCAGAAACGAATCTAATTTTTCTCACCTCTCATTCCCCTAAATGATAATAAACACAAATTGATAAGTAAACAATAAATAAATAAATAAATAAATAAATAAATAAACAAA